TTTTGATAATGACCCAGTTCTGATCAAAAACAGAGAGGGTTGGTCTTTGGCCCTATAAGGAAACTGAGGCCTGAGAAAGCACAAGACAGCTCTTGCTTTCCCTTCCTTCCCCCTTGCTTTATGCTGAACTCAGCCTCTTGGCTCCTCTATCTGAACTTGTTTTTTTCCAAATTACTAATTAAGTTAAAGCTTTGGCTCCCAGATGGGCCAACTTCCCCACTCAGGAAGCAGCATCATTCCCATCACCCATTTGTCTCTGTAGCGTGCAGTGCCTACAGAGGCTCAGCCTCTACTCAGCCATCTCTAAGAGTCCAGCTTCAGTGTTTTCCATCCATTTTCTGGTGAGCAAAGTGAGGCTTAGGAAAGAAACTTGAGCCTCGTGTGGAGCAGAGCCAGTAAGCTCATGTCAACTCTAGGTAAAACAGAAGCAGATTCTTCTGACCCTTTCTCTTTCCTTGGTAGCAATCCCTTGTCCCCTTCCCCCCCCACACACATACCTTAATCAGGTGGGGTCTCTTGTGTTCTTTCTCTCCCTTCCCAAGGAGCAAAACCCGCTCTCAGGAAAAAACCAGTAGATCATTATAAATAAATAAAAAATTATAAAATTATCCTTCTCAGGAACAAGGTGAAGTAGTGAAAGGAATGCTTGTCTTAGAGTCTAGAGGAACACAGTCCAAATACCAACTCTGCTACTCACTACCTGAGGAACAAATCAGAACCTCTCCAAGCCTCAGTTTACTCATTTGTCAAATGAGGGGGTTAGATATACTGACCTCTGAAGTCCCTTCCAGCTCTAAATACATGATCCCCAATCAATCACTAACATTTATTAAGTGCCTACTATGTGCAAGGCACTGTGCTAAGTACTGGTGATACAAAAAGAGGCAGAAGATAGTCCCTGCCCTCAAGGAGTTTACAATCTATGAACATTTGCATTTTAGCAAGAGAAACGGTCTCAAGACAAAAGTGTGACTCTGAAATTTCAGTTATCAGTAAGTAGGGTGACAAAGGTATTCTGGTAGCAGGACTTCCTCACACCCCTGAAATTGTACCACTCAGCAACTGCCTATCTTGCTCACTGCTAAGGTCTTAGAGACAATACCTTTCCTTATCTTGACTAGCACTTATACCTGTCATCTGGGGGGTAAGTGAATGCCTCATTCCCAGGAGATGTGGGTCCCCTGCACAAATGCTCCTGGATCTCCACTTTCCCTCTTATTGCATCACCATTTGATGAACTCAGGGTGTCCTTGGGGTCCCAGCCAGTAGCCTGTACTTTCCCTGCCTGTCAAACTGCTCCCCTGCACCCCAGCTGCCTATAGAATCAGTCAATAAGCATCGATTGTGCCCAGCCTCAGTGCCAAGTACAGGAGATACAGAGAAAAAGCAAAAACAGCCCTGCCTCCAAGGAGTTTAGATTCTAATGGGTAACAGATAACACTAAAGAATCATCTACAGTAGATGAAGGGAACCTTGCAAAGGGATGACAGAAGGGGCTGAGGCAGGGATGGGATCAAGAATGCCCTCCTAAGGAGAGGAAGCCTTCAAGCTGATGATGGAAGGGTGCTAAGGGTTCTTCTAAGAGGGGAAGGTTAGGAAGGAGAGTGTTCCAAGCATGGAGAACAGCCAGCACCAAAGCAGAGACAGGAGATGGGGCATCCTGTGTGAGAAACAGCAGTGAGGCCAAGATGATTGATCACAGCATGCACAGAGGGGAAAGAATGTAAGAAGATTGAAAAGGTAAGAAGGGGTCAGGTTGTAATGAGTTTTAAATGGCAAACAGAGGACTTTATATTTGATCCTGGGGCCACAGAGTTTATTGAGCAGGTGAGTAGCATGGTCAGCCCTGTGCTTCAGGAAAATCACTGGCAACTGAGCAGATGGTGGATTAGGGCAGGGAGAGACTTGAGGGAGGGAGACCAACGAGAAGGCTCGTGCAATAGTTCAGGAGAGAGGTAATGAGCTAAGGGGTGGCTTTATAAGGAAAGGGAAGGGGCTGAGTGTACAATATGTAGAGAAAGAAATTATTAGATTTACAACTGGTTGGCTGTGTGGGCTAATTCAGAGATGTGGAAGGTGACACCAGGGCTTTGGACCTGAGTGACTGGAAGGATGGCAGTGGCCCTGACAGTAATAGAAAAGTTCAGAAGAGGGGAGGGTTGGCGATAAAGATAATCTGTCCTCTTTTAGAAAAATATTTGTCCCATAGGCACCAGTCTAGCTTTTCTACAGGACAGGGGGAGAAGTCATTGCCCAATATGAGAACTTATGCCACAGGGGCAGATTGTGATACTGGAATCCCTGAAGTGTCTCACTTGCCTCTCGGAGTCCCCAGGGATCTAGTCCAGGGGCAGGAGGCTGCAGCAAATGGCCTTTCATGATTCCTTGTAGCGTGAGGCATCTTATGCCTCACAGTCTCAGGGTCTGCGATTCTTCTCCCCTCTAATCATAGACTTCCTTCCCCCACTTCTCCCATCTCAAAAGGTGCCCCCAACCCCAAGCTCCTCAGTAGCTCAATTGTGAAGCAAAAGAAAGAATATCTGATTTGAACTCAAAAGATCTGGGTTGGAATGGTTCTGTATGATCCTGGGCCAGTCAATTCCCTTTTCTGGGCCTCAGTACCCTCATCTATAGACTGGATGAACTCTAAGGTCACTTCGCGTTCTAAATCTTATGAGCTTTAAGGTCCCTCAATTCAAAATGCTACAGGATCTGGATTCACATCCCACTTATTCCACTTCAAATCACCTTTGTGATTGTGGGGGCAAGTCATTTAACTTAGCACAGTGCTTGGCACATAGAAGGCACTTAAATATTTATTGAATTGAGTTGAGTTGAACTTCCATTTCCTCATCTGTAAAATAAGGATAGAAATATAGGCTGACATAATGAATAGGGAGCCAACCTCAGAGTAAGGAAGATGTGGCTTCGAATCCTACATCTAATACCTACTGGCTACATGAGTGATCCTGGGCAAATCACTAAGCTCTCAGTCCCCCCCACTCCCACTCCAAGAACTGTCTAAACCCTAAGTTTTAGGGCAATCTTTTATCTTCATTGGTGGGGGAAATTTCCTCACTAAAAGTTCTCTATACCAATGAAATCATAAGTTTAGGTCCCCCCAGATGGCAATAATAATACCTGCCCTGCCTACTCCACAGGATTTGTGGTTAGGATCAAATGAGGTAACCTATGGAAAGCACTTTGTAAACTATAGAATGGTATGTAGAAGTCAGCTGTTATTATTGAGGAATCTCTGAATGAAAGTGACATACCCCCATCCACCCACTTCCCTACCTCAGCCCCTTCCAGTCCTGGATGAGGCAGTGTAGGCACAGGCGGATGGAAGATTTTGGGGGGGAAGGGAAGTAGGGATGTGAGAGTAAAGAAGCTGGCTGGCCTCCAGCAGCTGGGATCCTGACGGGTGGCGGATGGCAGCCACATGAATAACAGAGAAAGGTTCCATAATTGGTGTTATTACACATGCATTTCATCTCCATTCATAACGATTGGACACTTAAACCCAGTAGTTACTCAGTGGAACCTTGCTCTCATCATGCCGACAGCTGCGGGGATCAGCCACTGTCACTGGACAGAGCCTTTGGTGTGCCCATCTCTCCCTCACCCCACCCCCATGAACTGGAAACTTTGGGGCAAGAGTGATCACACTGTCTCCTCTCATCTGTCCCCTTCCATCCTCACCTCCCTTCCTTCAGAGGCTACTTCTTTATTCTTCAGTGTGGATTCAGGTCAATGTCTGGAATGAGAGGACACAGTGAGAGAGACTGAGGACAGTGGGATCATAGCGGGGTCTGTGTGTAGAAAACAGACTTTTTGCAGAGGAAGAAACACAAAGATCATTTGCTCCATCCACCCACTTCTGGGCAGAACCTTTAAGCATTCTAGGTACCTTATCACCTTACATTATTGTAAGTTGCTTGAGAATAGGGACCCTCGCTTCATTAAATTTTGTCTTTCCTTCAGCACCTAGGACAGTGGAACCATACACAGCAAGTGTTTAATGTTTGTTGTGGTTTCCATTTGGTTCTACAAGCATTTATTAAAACATATCTACAAGGCATTGTGCTGGGTAATGAAGAGTACAAAAACAAAAATCAAGACTTGTTTGCCTTCAGAGAATTTACATTCTAATGGGGATGCAATACGCACACAGATAAATATAATACTAGCTAGGGTATGGGGCAAGACACATGTGCCCTGGGAATATTTGAGAAGGAAGAATGTGTGTGTGGGGGGGGGAGAGGGAAGGAGGCAATCAGGGAAGATTTCCTGGAGATGCTGGTACCTGAACCTGTAAGAAGGGTAAGGCTTCTGAAAAGTAGAGATGAGGAAGGAAGGAGTATATTCCAATCATGGAATAGAGCTTGTACAAATGCAGAGAAACAGGAAAATGCCTTCCTTTTTTAGAAGGCATTTTTCTTATATTTATTAATTGCTGCCCATAAGAAGGTAAGATCTTTGGGGGCAGGGACCATCTTCACTTTTTCTGTTTATCCACAGCACTTAGCACACTCCCCAGCACATAATACCAGGTCAATAAATGCTTGTTGATTGATCTACTAATGGTATGTCCAAATCATGGAACAGCTAGTTCCATGTTAGGCTGGAGCATTACGTGCATGAAGAGGGTAACATGAAGTTAAGAGTGGGAAGGTCAGTTGAAGTAGAATGTAAACTCCCTGAGGGCAGAGTCTATTTACATTTTGTCTTTATGTCTCCAGCACCCCACGCAGATTGGATTTTATTGTCCAGAGAGATCTCCTGAGCTGAGCATTTTGCACCCCTACTCCACCACCCATCCTGGGATCCTCCTCTTACCCCTCTTTGTCAGGCTACGTATATCGCCCCCTACACCATACCTATCCAGTCCAGGGAAGTACAACTTGTTCTCATTCACCCTAACCCCACCAGAACCAGCCAAAGCGATATAACCTGGTCCCTCCCTCCCCCTTCCTTTGTCTCCTCCTCCCAACCTGCAGGTTGTGGCCTTTGCTTCTCTGTTTTTTATCCTTGTCTCCATCACCACCTTCTGCCTGGAGACGCATGAGGCCTTTAACATTGACCGCAACGTGACGGAGATCCACCGAGTAGGGAACATCACCAGTGTGCGCTTCCGGAGAGAGGTGGAGACAGAGCCCATCCTGACCTACATCGAGGGTGTCTGCGTCCTTTGGTTCACGCTGGAGTTTCTGGTGCGAATCATCTGCTGCCCAGACACTCTGGACTTCGTCAAGAACCTGCTGAACATTATAGACTTTGTGGCCATCCTCCCCTTCTATCTAGTAGAGGTGGGGCTGAGTGGACTCTCCTCCAAGGCAGCCCGGGATGTGCTGGGCTTTTTGCGTGTGGTCCGCTTTGTCCGAATTCTACGCATCTTCAAGCTCACCCGACACTTTGTGGGCCTTCGAGTCTTAGGCCACACCCTCCGTGCCAGCACCAATGAGTTCCTGCTGCTAATCATCTTCCTGGCCCTGGGTGTCCTCATCTTTGCCACCATGATCTACTATGCTGAGCGGATCGGGGCCAAGCCATCTGACCCAAGAGGCAATGACCACACTGACTTCAAGAATATCCCAATTGGCTTCTGGTGGGCTGTGGTCACCATGACAACACTGGGCTACGGAGACATGTATCCCAAGACGTGGTCAGGGATGTTGGTGGGGGCGCTGTGTGCATTGGCTGGGGTACTCACCATCGCCATGCCCGTCCCTGTCATTGTCAACAACTTGGCATGTACTACTCCCTCGCCATGGCCAAGCAGAAGCTGCCCAAGAAGAGGAAGAAACATGTGCCCCGACCCCCCCAGCTCGAGTCGCCAGCCTATTGCAAGTCAGAGGAGACATCACCCCGAGATAGCATCTTCAGTGACTCTAGCCCCCCAGTGGGGGAAGGAGGCATGGTGGAGAGGAAACGGGCAGGTGAGGCTTATATGGGGGATGCTGGTAGGGTGAAGTTAAGGCCTTCAGATGACTCTCCTGCCTTGTGACCTGGGCCGCAGGTTTTAAGGGGACTGAGAGGGTGGCTCTGGCTCAGATCCTTCTAGTGCTATTGATTCTTGATACTGTATTGACCAGGCTATGAGAGGCACTTTTCTGCAAGGGAAAATATTGGCATCAGGTTGCCCCGTGTCATATGGCTATCTGCCACTCTGGGGGACGTGGAGTGAGTTCCCTAGGGTTCGCTGCAGCTACTGCTCCACTAGGCAATTCAATTCCAGGAGCATTTTATTAGGCAGTCAACAAGAACGTATATGCTAGGCACTGTACTAAGTGCTAGGGATACAAAGAGAGGGGGAGAAGGTCCTTCCTTCAAGGAGCTCACATTCCAGTCAGGGGAGAAGTGTATGAATGGCTAGGTATATAGAAGATGTAGATGAAGGCTATCCAAAAGAACACACCCTTGGAAACACTGGAGATGTTGGTGCCTGCCTTCAAGGAGCTTGCATTTTAAAGGGAGAGACAATATGTATATAGATAAGAAGCAGTGATGTAAGTAGAAAGGGCATAAAGACAACCTACCTGGTGACCTGAGACCCAGGGTCTTAGATTTAGAAGGGAGCTCAGAAGCCATCTAGACCAACCCCTTCATTTTAAAAAATGTATTCATTTTAAACTTAAATATAAAATGAGAAAAGGGGAAAAAAAGACATTTGCCTGTACACAGCAGAACACAAAGACAGGAGTCAATATAAAGCTGTGAATTTCCATTTCACACTGTTTACTTTTTTAAAAAACCTATGTAATAAATACTACACATTGTTTTCAAAGCTACCCAGCTTTTCTGTGCTTCCTTCTAAATTTCCTTTTGTTCTTTACTGCACACTTTTTGTATTATTTTTCTCCCCCCCCCATTTTTATAGCTTTGTCTGAATTCTACACATCTTCAAAACTGAGCCCAGGTCCCCTGAATCAGTGCTCTCCCCCCTATATCACTCTAGCCTAAATTCTGACGGGACTTAAATCCTTCTGGAGTCTCTTATTGTTTCTGGGTTTCACTCTCCTCATCTACAAAATATCTATGTCCTCTCTGTCCTGGACAGTAGTGAAGACATAAGGTAATAGAAATAAAGGAGATTTGAAAAGTTAAAACTACTTACAAAGTAAGAGATTGGCCTGACAAAGGCAGCATGATGTAGTGAGTAGACAACTAGATTTGTTGTCAGGATGATCTGGATTTGAATCTAGCTGTGGACAAATCAATTCACCTTTCTGAGGCTTCATTTTCTCATCTCCAATGAGGATGACAGGATTGTTACAAGGTTCAAATGAGATGATGTGCATAAAATACTTTGTAAAGTTGACAGTGTTATATAAAGAGCAGCTATTATTTAATTGTTAAGGGGAGATCACTGACCTTGCAAGGTATATCAGCAAAAGAAATACTTGCTTCCAAATATTTCCTGGAGCATCTCAAAACCTAATCAATAAGGTCAATTAAGGGTAGCTCAAGGCTGCCTTCCATTATGCTTAGCCTGGACCAAGTCTTCATGGGGTCCTAAGTCCAGATTTGGCCTCTTGGGTTTGAAATGGATGGAAAAAAATGGAAGAAAGGTCAGGTTCATGTAATAAGCTGAGAATTTTAAAGGGGATAATCAACCAATGAGAATACTGAAGAAGGTAAAGAAAAGTTAGAGGAGCTGGGATCATGGGGCCTGGGAAGAGAGGGCTGAGGGTAGCCTTCATGTTCTCTAAAGATAGGAAAGGCTGTTTTAATAGTCGGTTTCTGCCTCTGCTTAAGATTGAAGGAGAAAACTCAACACACAACAGATTCAGGTTTGGCTATAAGAACCTCTTCTTCACTGTTAAGTATTAGAGTGGATTTCTAAAGGAAGTTATGAAACCCACATCTCTCGTTTGCTGAGGGTAGGGAGGATTGGCTGGTGGGTTGGCCGGGACTTTGCTTTTTGGGGTAAATGAGTAGTTTGGCTCTGGCCTGTGAGGGAGAGTCCTCCAAGGCAAGGACTGAGATCGTGGCCTGAGGGCCTTTGCCTGTGGTACATGCTAGAAGTTGGGCTGCCAGAGGTAATTTGATCAACAAGCATTTATTAAGTGCCTACTCTGTGTCAGGAATTATACCAGGCACTGGGATTACAAACACAATGAATGAAACGATCCCATTTACAAGGACTTTTGAGTTTTAAGTGGCCCCTACTAGCTCTGTCTTCCCTTACAAAGCAGGACAGTGTTCTTAAGGCTTCCCTTCCCTGTTCTTCAACCATCCCACTTCCTCCTTTCTTAATCCCTGCTTCCTAGCCCCACACCCCAAGATATGAGAGCATTTTAAACTGTCTTCAGGGGTGTCAGGAGCTCAGAGAAAAATTTAAAGTCCATGAGGCTAGTTCTCCATTGTTATATGTGGCATTGCAGCCACTCCTTTGACATGAACTCAGTCGTCTGGAAGCTTCAGAGGGCATTCATGCCATCATATGTTTGGGTGAGAGCCACTAAACTTATGCCTTAGGATTTAAAAATAAGGCAACTAAGGTAGGGTAACTTGCCCAAGGTTACACAGGTGATAAAATGACAGTTGGTATTAGAGCGAGGTTTTCTTGCTACTATCACGGCCTCCACCCCACCCCCCCACAATGAAGATTCCTAATCTCTAGGGTATTGTACAGCTCTGATATTTTATTTTTTAAATTTATTTTTAGTTTTCAACATTTGCTTTTATACGATTTTGAATTCCAAAATTTACCCCTCCACCTCCCCAAGATGGTATGCAATCTGATATAGGCTATACATATACAATCATATCAACATATTTCCACATTAGTCATGTTGTGAAAGAAGAATCAGAACAAAAGGGAAAAACCACAAGAAAGAAAAGAAAGCAGTATGCTTCAATATGCATTCAGGCTCTATGGAGTTCTTTCTCTGCATGTAGATCAGCCTTGATATTTTATCACTATCATTTTGACCCCATTCAGTCTAGGTGGGGTGTGGCATGGTGGAAAGTCACCCTAAGTTCCAATCTTGATTTGTGACCTTGGGCAAATCACACAACATTTCTAGAGTTGTTTCCTTGTCTATAGAATGAGGAGAGGCCACAGGTGGTATCCAAGGTGCTACCTAGTTTAAAACTTAATTAGTTATGCTGCTAGACATCTCATAATACTGTCTGGAACTTGTGAACAGACAATAAAGGGTGAGAATCATAGTCCCAGAGTCCAAAAGACTGGAAGGAAGGAAACAATCATTGCTTAGCCACCTATCATATGCCAGGCACTGTCCAAAACATTGTGCAGGGTGCTTAGGATACAGACAAAAATGAAAATGCCCCTGCCCTCAAAGAGATTATATTCCATACATCTATCTAATTATATTTAAATTGTATACAAGATAAATAGAACATAAATTTAGCACAGAGGTAATAGCAGCTCTTAAGAATAACAATGACAATCCCTTAACATTGGTAAAGAGGTTTAACCTTTTTAAAGCACTTTTATATCTACTCTCTCATTTGAGCATCACAAATATTATTCAACAACCTTGAGAAGTAGGTACTGTTATTATCATTCTCATTTTTTAGGTGAGGAAACTGATGCAGAGGTTGACTGAATGTCCAGAGTCACATAGCTAATGTCTGCGGCAGGATTTGAACTCAGGTCTTCATGACTCTTCTATCCACTGGGCCACATAGCTAGAGGTCCTGACTGGAGCTACCCTGAAGGATTTGCAGCAATCCTAGGTCTAGCTGGATTTTGGTTGCCATATTCCCAAGAAAACTAGTAAGGCCACTGCTTGGAGGGCTGGTCCAGAGCTTGTGGTTGGCAAGGAGCCAGGAATCAGCCATGGCACAGGAAAGCTGAAATGTGAGTCTCCAGGTGATTTCTCTAATGGACTTCCAACTATAACAGGGGAACCCCATAATGAACAGCCATTTGTCTTGGAAGGCCCTAGTATCCAGTCTGGATTCTTGTGTAGAATAAAGTTTGCCCTCCATTATTTAATCAGAGAATTTGAGACATAGAAGGGACCTGGATGTTTAACCCTAGGCTGGTTCTCCATGCTTGCAGTGCCCCTGACCGCAGTCTTCTACCACCTATCGGAAGTGTTTGCTCAGAAAAACGAACTCACTTTAAGACTTCCACAGAGGCTTGATCCAGGCCAAGCATGATAGAAGCCACCTGAATTTACGTATAGGCTGCTTATTGATTAGGTCTTAAGAAGCCCCTCACTTGAGGGAATTTGCTTTGCTTAACTGTGGGTATGAATTACAAGGGTTTTCTTTTTCTTTTGTGTGTGTGTTCAATTGGGGTATGGCAGAAGTGGGAGGCAGAGAAATTAAATGCCATTAATTGGAAAAAAAAAGAAAACTAAATTTATAAAAAGCTAAAAAAGAAACTCCACACTATGTAACAATTGGAAAGAAATATTTCCTTTCTTACCATACTGTACAATGAAAGCTTCCCTGATTTCTCTTGTTAATCCACTAACCATTCTATTAAGGGCTTAAATGTACAGTAACTGGCACACAGTAGACACCTTATATATGTACAACCAGGAAGATAAAAACAACTCCCCCACAAGATAAATGAGATAACATATGTGAAGTACTTTACAACCCTTAAAGTGCCATATAAATTATAGCTACACATTAGCTAGTTCTATTAAATGCTTATTTGGTTGATGGGTTGGTTTGGTTGAAGGCATTGTGTGGGGTTTTAAGGATACAGAGACAAAAATAAAATAGCCCCTGCCTTCAAGCACCTTATATTCTTTCTTTCTTCCTATTTTCTTTTTTCTCTCTCTTTCTTTCCTCCTTCCTTCCTTTCTTCTTCCTTTCTTCCTATTTTCTTTTTTCTCTCTCTTTCCTCCTTCCTTCCTTTCTTCCTTCCTCCCTTTCTCCCTCCCTCCTTCCTTCCTTTCCTTTTTCTTTTTTTCTTCCTTCTTTCTTTCTTTTGACTACCTACCTATTTATCCATCCACCTATCTCTATCCATCTATCTAGATATCCATCTATCTCTCTAACCATCCATCTATCTATCCATCCATCCATCTGTCTATCCATCTCTCCATCCATCTATCTCAAACTATCCATCCATTTATTTATTCCTCTGTCTATACAATTATATTCAAATGTATACAAGACAAATACAGTGTAAATTTGGTTGAGAGGTAATAGAAGCTCTTAAGAATATTAATGATGACAAGCCTCTGCTTACATAAATAAAGCAACTTAACCTTTCCAAAGCACTTTTCTATCTAGTATCTCATTTGAGCCTCATGAGCAGTCTGGGAGGTAGGTAGCCCTGCCTATATGCTAGACCTCACCAGAAGGTCAAGGAAGGAGAAGCTGGAGGGAAGGTCTAAGGAAAAGGGGCAGATCATTGGAAAGAGGGGCCCACCTGGAAGCAGATGGCTCTTGGAAAGCTGCCAAAAATTGCATGAGACATCCTCTAGCCACAAAGAGCTTATCTACTTTTTTAGTTCATCTGTGCCATGATTTCTCATCCATAGAAGTTGAGGAAGCACCAGCCAAGCAAAAAAGCTAGCACATTGGCATTGGATTTAGGGGCCTGGAAAGAGGGTCAGGTCCTCTGTCCCGGGGTATATGGTGAAGGTCATAGGTTCATCTTCATCATCAGCTCATAGACTTAAAGATATCAGTGAACTTAGAAGTCTAGTCCAATTCTCATTTTCAGAGAAGCAAACCCAGATAGAGAGATTTTAAGCGAGTTACCAAGAATCATACAACCAGTGTTTGAGGCAGGATCCAAACCAGATCTTCCTGACCCCAAGACTTTGTCTATCTGCTGCACTACACCATCTCTAAGATGACCTTTCTCTCCAGAATGGGAGACTTCTATGGGTGGGCAAGAGGGGATGTGGTATCATAAGGACAGCTCCTTGCCCAGAGCCCTGACCCACTAGTGCCAGGTTGTCCCCCCCACCTTGAAGGGACAGAAGAGCTGGAGCTGAGCTGCCAGGAAAGAGAACAAGCCTCATGAGGAGGGGCCTCCCAGGCAGCAAATGAATTCATAACTGACCCATCTCAAGCAAGAGGACCATCACCATTTCCTTCCCCATGAGTGCAGACCTTTTAATCCGTACTGTATTTCCCTTCTCCTTCCTGCCCTTAACAGATTCCAAGCAAAATGGAGATGCAAATGTGGTGCTGTCAGATGAGGAGGGGGCCTGCCTTACCCAGCCCTTGGCCTCAGCCCCGGAGGAACGAAGGGCCATGCGCCGTTCCAGCACTAGGGACAAGAACAAGAAAGCAGCTACCTGTTTTCTGCTCAGCGCTGGAGACTATGCTTGTGTTGATGGCAGTGTCCGAAAAGGTAGGAAGGAGGGCGTCTAGGGACAGGTGAGCCAGGTCTGAGGTCAGGGGGTCCCAGGGTGGGGCCCTTTCCACTGTCTTCTCAATATGATAGGCCAACTCTGAGGCCAAACCACACGTTTGAATTAGGTCCAGGCTTATCTGCCCCCAGACCTTCTGTCCGTGGCTGTTCCTGCCCCCCTCTCCTCCACCTCTTTATACTGACCACCAGCTCTAGTGTGTACCGCACACTAAGCCTATTCTTCCAGGGACTTATCTCCTCTCTATAAAACCCACTTCTTGGCCCTCCTATACTGTTGACTCTGGCTGTTTGACCCTTCCTGATACCCACAGCTTAAGTCCAGTTCTGTCTATCCCCATCCCCATAAGCAGAGCCCTGCTTTCCTCATTCATCTCTTTCTCCGTTGCCTTCCACCTCTGCCATCACTACCAGCCCCTTCTCCTCTGCTCCTTGCCTTTCTTAGGGAGCCTAGTTGGGTTCCATTCCATTTTTGGTGTTCTGGGCTATGTTTGGTCTGGGCATGAGATGCTTCAGGAGCCCTGAGATGCCTTTCTAGTCTGCCAGGATTTCCCATGCCATTTTCTCTTTGATAGCCCCCAGCAGAAGGAGAGTCCACAGCTGTCCAAAGTCAGGACTGCTCGATGACCCTGGATGAGGGAAGCATAAAAAAATCAACCCCCTAAAACTGGGATTCTACAACTCATGTCCCACTTCTGGATAAAGATCAGACCTTGGGCTCAGGCTAGCCCAGAAGGTCAGATTCCCCATAGTTTGGAACAGTCAAGCAGAGAGGAATGCAGCCATTTAGGAGGCCTTCCTTAGCCTGCCTGTGTCTCCAATGCTAGGCCAGGCTAGCCCATACCCGATGCCTGCCAGCACAGAGCACTGACTCTGGAGAGGACCTGGGTTCGAATTCCACCTCTGACACTTGTGACCTTGGGCTAGTTTTGGTGTTGAGATACCTTCATCATCATCATCATCTCCCTGTATTTCCTAGGTCACCCTGGGACAGTGGGCTCAGCTCCAGTCCTCTGGGGATTCAAACAGCCAAATAAGGGGATCTAAGGAACAATGGTTGTAACCCATCTAAAAGCTGCCTCTGTCAATGGCACTTGACCATACAATTGCTTCTATATCATGACCAAATCCCCAATTTAAAAGTTGTCAGCCCCTTTGTTAATGTTGATGATGGGGTTCAGTTTCTGACCCTAGGCCTAGGAACCCCTCACCTCCCACCTATGCACTTGTATCCCGTTTACCTGGGCCTAGCTAGTGATTCTTCCTGGGGGTCGCTATATGTTCTAAGCTGGAGCATTTCTTATGTGCTTCCCCAGCAGTGAGCGCTTGCATCCTGTCTTGGGCCTGTCCTTGCCCATCTGACTATTTCCTCCACCCTGTACCCCACATCCTCCATGCCTCTGACCTCCAGCACTCCGGCCCTAATTTTAATTATGCCCAGCTCAGCCCTGAACATTTATCCCGGGTCAGTAGGCCTGCCCAAACTCCTCTCCTCAACTCAGTCCTTTCCTGTCCTTTTCTCTCCGGGCAGAGGCCCCAGAGTACCCAGTCCCTGGTTCTTCCTTAGACTGTCCTCACCTTTTCCCTCCCAGGGCTGTATCATTGGTTCTGCCCAGGTACCTACCAGCTCTTTCTTCCACCTAGTCTTCTAGGAATTTACCTTCCATGTATAAGAATTTTCATAAGCATTAAGCTAACAGCCGTCCAGTAACATTGTTTATCCCAAGTCATCTTTTCATGGAATAAATTAACAGTGGCAGGGTGGTATATGCCTGCAGCTTGAAACTCGTAGGTCTACTCAGAGAGGAAATCCTATGGCTGAACTGATAATAATCAGACACTAGAGAGGGGGTACTTTAGCCTTATTTGATTCCTGTACTCAACTCCCTTGGGCAACATGCCTACTTAGTTAGGCTGGAGGGACAGCCTGGCCCCCAGGTAAGAAAGGGGTGCCAGTTGGTATCCAGATAAGACATTCATTTTTGGTACCAGAATGAGTTGCTGCATGGCCCTAGGGGGACCATGTGCTGTTTATTTGCCTCAGTGACTGTTTCTGTGAAACAGGGACCAGAAACAGTGGTCTGCAGCATACTGAGAGTGGTTAGACCAAAATGAGCCTAGTCCTAAAGTCCTGGGGTTGACAGTTATGGCCATTAAGAATCAGCCCAGAGCTCTTGGCAGTGGGGGATAGGTTCTCACAGGAAATTGTTCCTTAGCTCCTGCTCTGCTTCCAGGTCCCAGGGGTCCCCTTCCTGGTCAGAGAATGAAGAGGAGGTTGGGGGCTGGGGTATAATCAGATGCCTGAGACTTTCACTGAGGGAGAGAGAGGCCTGAGGGGTTCTGGCCACATGAAGGAAGTGTTCCCAGGTTCAATTCAATGGCTAAATAGTGTCTGAGCAGATGGCTCCTTTACCTTTCCATCTGAGTCAGCTGCTTCAGCCCTACCCTATGGCCCTTTGTTCTGCCCCCATCCTTAGTGGCTTTGTCCTCAAGGGTGAAATGAGCCCACCCCCAAACAAGGTTTTCTACTTTTCTTTCCCAGACATGGCACCTCATCCCAATGGTGAGGGCCTAGGTTTCAGTTCAGAGAACAGATCTGGGTTCAAATGCTACATCTGACATTGACCACCTGGGTGACCTTGGGTGAGTCATTTTACTCCCATGGGACTCAGTTTCCTGATCTATAAAATGAGGGAGGTGGAGATGGCCTCTGAAGTCCCTTCCGGCCATAGATCCATGATGTTTATAATCATCTACCTTTCCATAAGGAGAGAGCACTGTCCCAAACACTGGGGAATAGGTGAGCCAGTGAGTGCCTTAGTGCATATGGGTCTATGTGCATGGATGTGCTTTCTGCACATGTGCGTGTGTGGCAGCAGAAGAAATAGGTCTTCTGTTGGCTTCTGTTTCAATAGCGTACATGGAAGGGTATCAGAGACAGGACGTGTTTCAAGGTTGCATCGGTGGATGGGGAGGTGGCAAGGATGGGGGAAGAGAGGACAAAAGCTGGAGGCGTGGCATCTGGCTCCGGGGGTGTCCACATGTTGGCATGTAGTAAGAGCAAGAACTCTGTGTGTGTATATGTTTGTGGAGAAGGGAAAGCCTGCCTCCTGCTGCCAATACAGTCTGTGCCTCAGGGAGAGGAGCCCTCTGGGGTACCCACGGGGCCCAGCCACTGTGTTTGTGAGATGCCTCTACACAGCTCCTTGGTAACAAATACTTTGCTTAGCCAATTAGAGTGACCTTCAAGAAGGAACAGGTGGGTTGCCGGGAAACCGGTCCTGCTAAGCAAGCGTGGCAATTAGCATTCTCGAACCCCCAACGCTCGGCAACTTTCCCTGAACCTAGTACCCGAGCCCAGTTTGGAAACAGCATCGTGGGGGAGCAGCTGTGGGGCCTGGCCCATAGGGTTAGCCTAGCTGACTTCACAAGAACCCTCACTAGATGAACCACTTACTGCTCCCTAGGCAGCTGCTTCCCCCCTCCCCACCCCCCCCCCATGTTGGAAAAGAAGGAAGGTGATCTCAGGAAGGGCTGCTCAAGGTCAGGGGAGGCCTGTCTAGGAATGAAGGTGTGACAGGTGGGGTGGGGATGAGATAGAGGGTAAGTGAGCAGGGGAATCATATCAGGCCAAATTCTCTATGTAAGAAAGATTTATCCCGCACATTTTCCCCAGGAGGGGAAGATTTTGTTCCCAGGTGGGAGATGAGAGCTGGTAAACCAGGGGACTTTCAATGCCCCTTGGTGAAAAGACTGCATAGCCTAGCTGGGCAGTGAAACCTTCTCTCATCATGCGTCTGCCTTTTCTTCACCAAGGCTGTGAAAAGTCCAGAAGCCTAAACAACATAGCCGGAGCAGCAGGAACAAGTCTGGGGCTCTCTCCACTCACATCGCGCTACAGCTCACCCCACCCTCCAAGAAAGCTCCTGCTCTCCCACCCCTTCCATTCTCTAATGGGCCCGACACATGGACACGCTGCTCCTTAATCAGCCCGTCTGCAGCGCCACGGTGCATCGAGGCTGCTCCGGCTCACTCTCATCCTCCTCGCCCGTCCTCTGCCTCTCCCCCTCTCCTCGCCATGACTCATGCTGCCCATATTGATGCTTCCCAGCCCCCTACCCTATCCCTTCCCAGCCCCCACTCCTCCCCTGCTCAGGCATAATGGCCTGCAGACTTTGGCCCACTTGGGGCCCCTCACTTCACCCTGCTCTTCAGATTTCTCAGCTCTGGAGTCATTGACCAAAAGCAGAGAACTCCACTTTGCTGCTCCCCTCAGATTCCCAGGGTCATCTCAAGAGGGCAAAGAGTAAGATTCTTCCGGGCCCCTGGCCCTCATCTGTCTCAGGGCTCCCTCTCTCCCTGCTCTTTTCTGCTGTCTTTGGTCTGGGCAGTGTTACGTGGGTGCATACCCAGGCGGTGCACCCACACATATATATCCTAGAGCCTGCTCAACTATGCTGGGGCCTTAGCACCTTTCTTACCTTAGACATTTATTTTTTTAATTGCAACAAATACATTCCATTTCCATGCTGCCTTTAGCCAGTAATGAAATAGTCTGTGAAAGGATGTCTTTGTCTGTCTGTCTATCTCCCTGCAAGAGTTTGGGCCCACCTAAAGCAATACTCTTGCCATAAATGGGCTTTCATTCACTTCTCTTCTCCCCAGATCCATCTTTCTCTCTCTCTCTCTCTCTCTCTCTCTCTCTCTCTCTCTCTCTCTCTCTCTCTCTCTCTCTCAGGTAGGATGGGGGTGGGAGAAGCTTAGAAGCCTTTACTTTACCCTCAGTCATGTTGCTATCCATCCTGGAGGACTAGACCAGGGACAGGACCCCATGGTAATGGAGGAGGATTGGGCTACCCTCTGGAGCTCTCCACTCTGACCTGTGCTGACTGATAACTCAAGAGAGAATCACCATGTGCTACAGAAAGCACAGCTTTCATATAGTCCCCCCTTCTGCCTGGCTGTTCCAGGCAACCCCCTTC